AAGCAGATCTATTTTCTAAATTATTCAATTCCAAGTTTTTTAGTCTCACATTTTTATATTTCTCATTCTAAATCCATTAATGAAACAGCAAATCATACATTGCTAAATAATTAACCTCTATATCACAGATATTAGTTATGTTATTTTATATAAAATGAAGACATCACATAATCCTTATAAAATGTGCAAAATGCTAAACACAAACTGAACATGTTTGAATATTTTTTAACATTTTTCCATATGAGGAGCTTTTACAAAATACCAATATTAGACCTTCCAAACTTATTATAAAAAGAAAAAAAACATTGAAGGAACGACTTTATAATAAAGCAGTTTCTATGCAGCTGCACTGAATTGCAAATTACTTTGAAATTAATTATGCTTAAAATAAAATATTTGTTTCTGTAATCGACTGAGTTAAACAGTGAAGTTAAGGAAAAAAAACTGGACAAAACAGAAGATTAAATAATTAAAAGAAATACAGTTTTTTCTAAGGCAATGAAAAGCTTTTTCTAACACCGCCGACTGAGGAGCTCATGTTAAAACTGACACATTAATATAATAATATATAAGTTAATTAGACAGTCAGAACATGATGATTAAAGCAGCTTCAGGCTGACTTACCCAGGAGGTTCTGATCCGGTCCAGTGGAAGTCAGCTGCAGAATGATGGAGTTCATCTAAATCATTGCTTTTATGGCAATCTGTTTGGACATGCCCCCCCCAACCTCCCCGCCCCACCCCTGGTGAGTGAGGAAGGGCAAGAAGGGCAGTAATGGTTTTGAAATGAAAATTCATAACATGAAAATTATATTTTTAAAAACGGTTTCCAGAATTTCTTTTTTCTTATTTCATAAAAAAACAATAAAAATAATAAAAAAATCTGAAAAAAGCAGTTTTCACTGTTTCAGATGATGATTTTCATGCGTATGTTTTGATGCATTTTGATTCAAACATCTTACAAAGTTCTACACTTTAGCAGTTATAATGAACTTGCATTTAAGGTCCTGATTTTTTTTTCAGTCTTTTAAGGATGTTATAAACAAAACTGTTCATTTTGAATGTATAACGGACACATAGACTATTCAATTCTATTCAGTTTATTTCTATAGCGCCAATTCACATCATGTCATC